TTTACAGCGGGTTAAGCATAGGCTTCCTTTTCATTGAAGATTGGGCTTGTCTCGTTGGCAAACTCAGTCGTGTACATGAAGACGATTTCTCTCCCATTGTCATCTGCTTTGAGAGAACGCAATCACTTTTCTTCTTCGATCGGCAGAGACTGGTGATATTTCCTTCGCCGAGGAGGACCATAGGCAGAGTTGCCTATGCCCACACGCATGTCTCCAAACACGACAAGGGACAATAATAGGGATTCAGGGTTGGATAGAAAGCCTGTATGTGCGGCATCAATGTGACTGGCTCAAATTCTCTTAGATAGGTGGCTTAATTCAGCGGAAGATAGATCCCTTTTGGAAAAGTTAACAACCCTCGTAGACATTATACACCTGTCAGTAAAGCAAAGAAGAAACTAGGCTTTCTCCCGCAGACTGGCTCGTTTTTTCATCTTGGTGCTTTTCGTGGTGACGTTTCTTCGTTACATTAGGTCTCAGAATTGAGTTTCAGGCAAACATAAGACGCATCAAATTCTAAGGTCGAAAATTGTTACTTCGAAATGTAAATATGATGGATGGCGTAAGATAGAATGACAGGCATAACACGGAAACGGTATTTGCTCTTAAATCGTCTTCCGGTCTGATTCGGCAAACTGAAATTGAATCGAAGATACTTTGGCGGGATACCACGATTGCGAGCGCAGTGAAAAGTCATTTGTTCACAAGTCGTTGCCAGCCGCTGGGGGGTGTCTCCCAACATCTAATAAATAAAAGTGTTTAACGCAAAAATATGTCGAATAACGGACGTAATGTGCACTCCGAGATGACAACGAAAAAGCGATGACTTTCAGTAAAATCCAGCTGTACTTAATAAATTTACATAAATAGTAGTGAAAATCCGATTCCCAGGTCGCATATCAAAAGAAGAGGGGGCGTTCACCGGGAGGGGTTTATTTGAGATCCGACGTTTCGGGTAGTTTATTTGTCTACCCATCTTCAGGGACTGGGAGGTCCTGTGCACATCACTCCTTATTATGGCGCCCTTTGTCCAATGCGTGATCCGCCAATGCCGCCTGTGTGGCTGCATCCAACCCACATGTCACCGTGACCTGAATCGCCCCCGTCGGCCGCGGTGATGACTGACGGTCCCGATTGTCCCGCGCCGTGATTGTCCCCCGCTTAGAAGGTTCGTAAAGTCAGAAAGGGGGGAGGCAAATTGATGTGGCGGTTGACAGAGCGGTCGGTGGACATCCAGGCTTCTTGCACTTGCCTTGCTGTGTGATCGCTGCCCCGGCCCACAATCTCAACGGCGTCAAAGTGGAAGATGTGTCCTATTTGCGCGGCATGGGTTGCTACCTCCGACTTTGGGTCCAACCTTCGCACGGCCAACTTATGCTCATGCATTCGCATTTGCAGCCGTCGGCCGGTTTCCCCAACGTAGTTGCAACTTCCGCAGCTGCATTGAAGTCGGTAGACAACGGCCGACATCTCCTGCTTAGGGATTGGATCTTTTGGCCGCATCACTTGCCGGCGGATTGTTGAGTCAGGCATGTGGGCAACACCTATTCCGAGTGGCGCGAGTGATCGAGCCACGACTTCGGAGACCCCTTTAATGTACGGAATGCTCCGCCACACGTTTGGCTGACTATGCTCTTCGTTCCGTTTCTTTGGCTGCCTCCGGCTTCGTTCAATGAATGCCCGCGGATAGCCATTGGCTCTCAAAAGTTCTCGGAGGAGCTTTATCTCATCCAGTTTGGCGGCTGGTGTGCTGCAATGAGTTTCCACCCGTCGGTACAGCGTGCGGACACAGCTTCGTTTGTGTTGTGGCGGGTGGTTGCTGTTGTAGCTGAGAATTTGCAGCGTGTTCGTCGGTTTTCTGTAGACCAACGTCGCTAGTTCGCCATTTGGTTGGCGGCAGACGAGAACATCCAAGAATGGAAGTTTGTCCTCTACTTCCTCTTCCATCGTGAACTGTAGATCGGGCATGCTTGAGTTCAGTACTTCCTCATAGTCGTTGATTTTATCCTGGTCTATGATTACGAAGGTGTCATCAACGTAGCGTGCCCAAAACTTGGGTTTGTACTCCTCGAATAGTCGTCTCTCGAGTTTTTGTAGAACCGCCTCGGCAATGAGTCCGGAGATTGGTGAACCCATTGGCGTGCCCTTGATCTGCTCGTATGTGGTCCCTTCGAAGGTAAAGAATGTCTTGAGGCAGTGCCCCATGAGTTCCATGAGATCCTGAGCTGTGGGCTGGCCGTCGCCCCCGTCGTAATTTTTACGTATCAGGTCACTGAGCGTTTCGACCGCAAGGGCCTGTGGTATGGGCGTGAAGAGTGAGACGACGTCAAAAGACACTATCCTTTCATTCGGTTCGATCGTGACTGTCCTTATTTTGTCAAGGAATTGTTCTGCTGAGTGCACTGTTGTTTGTGAGCCTGCAGTTAGGAATCTTAGCTTCTGAAATAGCCAGCTTGCAAGCCCGTATGTGGGTGTGCCTCGGAGTGAGACGACTTCAATGCAGCTGCGGAAGTTGCAACCACGTTGGGGAAACCGGCCGACGGCTGCAAACGCGAATGCACGAGCATAAGTTGGCCGTGCGAAGGTTGGACCCAAAGTCGGAGGTAGCAACCCATGCCGCGCAAATAGGACACATCTTCCACTTTGACGCCGTTGAGATTGTGGGCCGGGGCAGCGATCACACAGCAAGGCAAGTGCAAGAAGCCTGGATGTCCACCGACCGCTCTGTCAACCGCCACATCAATTTGCCTCCCCCCTATCTGACTTTACGAACCTTCTAAGCGGGGGACAATCACGGCGCGGGACAATCGGGACCGTCAGTCATCACCGCGGCCGACGGGGGCGATTCAGGTCACGGTGACATGTGGGTTGGATGCAGCCACACAGGCGGCATTGGCGGATCACGCATTGGACAAAGGGCGCCATAATAAGGAGTGATGTGCACAGGACCTCCCAGTCCCTGAAGATGGGTAGACAAATAAACTACCCGAAACGTCGGATCTCAAATAAACCCCTCCCGGTGAACGCCCCCTCTACTGATGAAATTGTTTGTTAGCGACACCAACCCGTCATCAGACGAAATGAACAGGGGAAAATGAAATCGGCAGACTGGGTCGCCTAGCGCTACAGGACAGACGTCCTCTGAAAAGTATATTCAGGAATAGATCTATTATTATAGCACCTCCTGGACTCTCTTGGGCATTGATGTGATGCTTAACGTAAGCGGGACTATAACAGCCAACCTAATCCTTCACAAACTTTTCGACAGTTCCTGGGTCATGGAAAATATTGTTTAAAGGTTTTGAAAGAAGTGAAATGTGAGATGGAGGTCTATGTGATATGAAACAATACTTTTAATGACGGTCCTTGATATTAATTTTACTTAACCAAATCATATGTGGCAAAATCAAATATAGACGATGAGACGCTAGGCCGCCGCAGGGATTAACTTTCCATAAACATTTTGCCTAGAGTAGGTTTTACATCGTAGGGAATCTCGAACTGAAAAATTACATAAACTTCGGAAAATTTCCGCCTATTGAAATTTCGCATTCCAAAACAGGTTTTCGGTACTTTGCAGGTGATCGATAACTATGGGCGACTAATAATGTAGTTTAGTTTTTATTAATTACGTAGACAGTTATAGCGTCGAGAATTAGACATTCTTTTGCGTGCCAAAAGGACACACTTAACTGTCTGCTGGAGTATATCCACCTTTATCTACAGGAATGTATAGTATACATCATACGTTATATATATATGGCTATAGGCTCTAGCCATATAATCGTAAACCAGGTATTTATCATGTTTTTCTGCAGAAGTATGC